CTTCGATTTAACAAACGCTTACTTACTTTTGTGAGCGCGTTGCAGTGCCGGCGAGGCTCTTTACCTGCCCTCCCTCTGGTTCCACCACGTCAAGCAGCACGCCGACGCCGAGGGCCGGTGCATTGCCGTCAACTTCTGGTACGTTGGCTCCCAACCCAGGCCTCTGTCTGACCTGACAGTGACACACTGCTTCTGTGATATGCAGGTACGACATGCAGTACGACGTCAAGTACAACTACTACAAGGTAAATCCTGTAATCCAATCCATCCGTGCAGCTTCCCCATTAAGTTCTCACACATCCTCGCTTATTGACCAGTTCCTGGAGAACCTGACCAGCCTCCCCAACGCCGAAGAGGCCAAGTCTTGAGGCAAATGCCCACGGCACACACGCGTCAAGAAAAAGTTATTTATTCTCAGTTTTCTTTTTCTTCATCTTATTTTTATTTTATTTTATCCCCAAGGCAAGATGGAGACACAGGAGAAGCCTCAGGGCACTACGGCAGATGAAAGACCAGAAGAACAAACTGTGCAGGTGCGTGTCCCCAGACGCACGCGCACTGCGTAGTCAGATTATTTTTTAAAAATAAAATCTCATGTAGCATCACATCAGCAGGGGGAGGGGCCAGAGCTGCTTACCTGCGCGCCCGCGGCTGCAGAAGACGCTCCGAAAGCGCCCTGGGAGGGCCTGTACGACACGTTCATGCCGCTGCTCATCTCCATGACCTTCAACTCCCCGCTCCAGTTCTGGGAGCTCAACTACATGCAGCAGCAGAACCAGTTCGATGCGGCGGCCGAGGAACAGGACAAAGTGGTACGTACGCACGTGCGGACCCATGCCCCACGTCTGGCGTACCGCCGCTTCTTCTCACACTCCTCGTCACCACGCGTGGGAGGGCGCCGTGTAGAGTAGCTTGGCCGTGTGGTTCGGCTACGAGCCCATACTGGTCGCGCTGCACGAGATCAAGCAAGTCACACGTATGTGTCTCTCTGGCTCTGTCCTCTCCTGTTTCTTGCTCTCCCTCCCTCCTCTCTCTCTCTCTCGGTGTGCCCTCTTCTTCGTATTGTTTGCGTCTGCGCGCTTTCGGAAACTCACGCTCCTCGTGTGGAGGGCTGCAGCCAACATGGACGCCGCGATACTGGATCTCGGCTGTGGCAACGGCCACGTGTGCGAGCTCCTGCTGGCCCTCGGCTTCACCAAGTATATGTGCCTGCCGCACGCGCTGCTCTACGTTTAAGTCTAAGTCTCTATGTAAACATGACTGACTCTCGGCTGCTACTCTCAGCGTGCACGGGCTGGACTACAGCGACGCTGCGATTCGACTCGCCAGGAGCGTGCGACGGATGTATCGGGAACAGCGGGAGAACCAGCGACGGCAGGGCGGTGGCGGCGGCGATGATGACGACACTGGCATCGTCCGGACGGGTGGCATCGACTACGTCGTGGGTGACGCGCTGGCGACGGGCATCGAGGGCGGCTCCTTCGACGTGATCTACGACAAAGGCACCTTCGACTCCATCGCCTGCGTGAGCAAGAAGTTCGTCAAGTCGCGGCCGTCCCTCATGCCGCCGCACGAGGAGGAGAGCGACGAAGACGAGCAAATTCTCCGCAGGAGGACGACGGAAGACACGGAGAACGCCAGTGGCAACGAAGAAGAAGAGAAGGCAAACGACGACGAAGAGGACGACGAAGACGATCGAATCAAGTATTGCCGCGAGGTGAACCGGTATGGCCGCGTCTTTATTAAGCCGCTTGCGTGTGAAAAAAGGAGGAAAGGGTTGATGACTGATGGAGCAGCCGGGCTTGTCGCCTGCACCGCGCTGTGCAGATTGCTCAAGCCGGGCGCCTACTTCGTCATCACGAGCCAGTGCCACGACGAAGACGAGCTGCTCCGCTTCTTCACACGCGAACCGGTACGTGTGCCGGCCTCCACCACCACAACCAAATACCTTCTTCATTGGCCACTCATCATGCACGCAACCCTCGTGCGCAGGAAGGCGAGCCTGCGGGCTGTGATTTGGAGCTGGTCAAGAACCTCACCGACGCGTTCGCCGACCTGCGGCTGATGATCTTCCGTAAGCCTGCCCTCGAACTTGACCAGGACTGAGAACAGATTTGCCATCATGTTCGAAGAAATTGAGAAGAATGTCTGCCACGTCACGCGTCGTCGTGTCGGGCCGCGTCGACCTCGTCCGCTCGGCGCTTGAGCTGCTGGGCCTGACGCTTCGACAGACACCATCAGCCATCACTCTGACGTTAGCAGCGCGTGGGCTGTGGCTGGCGCAGACAGCGACGTGAGGGGAGACTCACCTTACGCGCGTGCGTTGCACCTCCCTGTCGTGTGGCGTTGTGTGTGTGTGGCGCGTTGTTACCTGACCGAGGAGTTGAGACCCTTCCACAGGCTCTTGATGGTCTTGATGCGGCTGAGGTACAGGAAGAACATCTTCATGTCCATGTTCTGTCGCAGATCGAACTTGAGCGACTGCTCCTCCTTCGTCAGCGCCATCTCCTGATTCAGATGCGATCGCACGCGGCCCTGTGCGGAGTGCAGGCCGGAATCGTTAGGGATCTCTCTCTCTCTCTCTGCCTCAGTCGGGAAGAGCGAGAGGACAGCGTGCGAGGTGGCGTATGTTACCGCCCTCCCGACTTGTGCAGGTCTGGCGTGATTCCCAGCGACTTCGTAGGGTCGGGCCGACCCCTTTTCTTCTGTGTCCAGCGAGCGAGGATCGAACTGGCCCTGCAGGTCCCTCACAACATCAACGATAACGCGCACACGCAATTGCCCGTCAACCTCCAGTCCGTCATCCGATCTAGACGTACAGATAGGCTCGAGCTCTGGTCGCATCAGCTTGTAGAACACGCACCGCGGGTCCGCCTTGCGCGTCTCTGGACTGCACGAGCCCCCGTCCGTTCCTGGACTGACGGCTGCGTGTGGTCGTGTGGTTTGTCCTCAAGAGTGCGAGAGCCGGTACTCTTCGGAGGGACTCTGAGGCGGCAACAGGCGCGCAAAGTCGACGACGTAGTTCCTGCCATCGGTGCTGCGGTGGGCTTCGAAGTCGCTCGGCCCGTGAATCGTCTTGTCCTTCGCCTTGTGCCCGCAGATGGCCAGCGGCGAGCACGCTGTGGTCATGGCTTCGTTCAGTTCGGGAATATCACGGTAACGCCACCATCGCTGGAGAGGAGGACGAGGACATGTGAGCGACAGGAGCAAGAGCAAGAGAAGACTGAAGATGGCAGACTGAACGAGGGTACAGGCCTGAGAGGGGGATGCCACGAGCTTCAATTTTGAGCGACGGCAATCCAGGCGTGAACGTGACGAACATGGCCTGGATACCGTTGAGCTCTCTCCCGGCCCACTTACCAGCTGTCTTGTGCTGATTCCACTTGTGTGTCTCGTGTGTGCAGGGTGTTCGACAAGGGCGTTTGGACCAAGTGGCTGTACGGGTGGGATTCTCCCTCCACATAAGAATGGTACGGCTGCGCACAACACTTGAGCAGGAGTTAGGTACTGAATCTTGGCTGATTGGCTTGATCTCGGGTGTATTGATTGCTGATGGTGGTGTGGCAGCCAGGTGTGCCTAGGTGAGCTGACGCAGCTCCGCGTGCGGAGTGGACGCTCTTCTTCGCGGTGCAAGAATAAGCTAAGATTTTCTATATATTTAAATTAATTAATACAGTCGCGCCAGAAAGGCGTGGTGTCAGCCGGATGGAGAGGAGAAACCTCAACTTACAGCAACGCCCTCGCCAAGGTCGAGAGCCAAGGCTGAGTGTCGGCAGCCGAGCTATCCTCGCTGTCGGTGTAGTAGGGGCGGAGCTCACGAGGAACCGAAACGCGAGTCTGAGGCGCGCAGGGGTTGGTACTGCACGAGGCCTTGATGACGATCAAGGGTCCGCCGTTGACGAGCGGGAGGGTCAGGCCGCCGCGCGTGAACTGCCCGGGCGCGGGCGGGATGGACGTCCACGGAGCGTCCTTGCCCGGGCTGCCGAACGTGGCGGGCTGCATGGTGGCTCGGACGTAGAGCACCTGGGCGGCGTTGTCCCAGTAGTAGACGTCGCCGAAGCCGTTGGCGACCTCGGCCACGGAGCTGACGTTCCTGAACGGTGCGTGCAGACGGCCCAGCTGGTGGAGCACCACGAAGCCGCC